TTTTTCTATACCTCATCATACATTGATTCCCCTCCAACATCTAAAAGCAGGACTTCATCTTTCAGTGTTACACCAGCACTGGCACTGGCTTCTTTGATCAGATCCATTAACATCTCTGGGTTATCACAAGAAAAGTAATAAGCACCACTCTTAGACACAGGAGCAGGCTAAAGAAAGGGAGGAGAGAGAGGAGATTAAGGGAAAGAGGGAGAGGAGGAAAGAGATAGGAAACAAAGTGGGAGAGAATGAGGCTACCAGTAATATCATTATGCACACCACAAACTCACCCCCTTTGTCGATAGAGTGTGTCCCATCTCTTTATATACATTCATTATGTTCTTGAACCCGGTCATCAGTGACGATGAAGGAGATGGCAAGAGATACACTCCACGGATCCTAAGCTTTCCCAATCCACCTGTGACTACATTGAACAAAGGAAGGGGGAGAGAGAAGGTTTTGCTGGATGTGTTGCTTTTGTTAAATGATTGGTTCAAAGATAAGAAGAGAGGTTGGTTTGAGAGGGAGGCAAGAGAGAGAGCAGCTACACGTGATACGGCAGCCTTAGAGCTTGGATGAAGTGTGATTCCATGATCTAAATGAAATTGATAATATCAAGTATGTGTGTAATATCTTAAATATTTCACACTCCCTCTCTTTCTATCTCTCTTGATTCTCCTCCCCACTAGCACCCCCCTCTTCAGCATGCAATACCTTGATTAATGACAGCGTTTAATTCAATTTGTGATTTCAAGTCTAACTCAGAGAGTATCACTGCATAGAACAATAATGAAACAATGAACAAGCCTCTTACTATTATTATTGTTACTATCATTATTATTGCTATTACCATTTAATCTATTGACAGTCTCTAGGTAAGGAGGAGTTGAAGCCTCTTTAGTTTTCTCTTCTACCTCTTCCTTCTTTGCCTCCTCCACCACTGCCTCCTCTTCTTTAACCGGGAGTGCTTTAGCTTCTTTAGACTCTTTACTCTTGTCTTTGGCCTCTTTAGTGTCTTTGGGATTAGTCCCCGAGGGAGGTTTGCTCTTGCTTCCACTCCATTTCAGCTCACCATCATTTTTAGGCCAATTCAAGTCATGAGCATAAGTACTAACAGCCTGTTGAGAGAGAGACAGAGACAGACAGAAGATATTAAATGCCATTCTTATCACTGGAGGGTGTTTTAGTTATCATAAAGAAGAGAGAGAGTTGACATACACTATTATACCAATGGAAATGAAATCAACTGTACAGTATAAACTACAGGCAGCAGCTCCTCATTAGTTACACCCATTATTCCCAACCACATTAATGCACACACAATGCCCTAATGTGATCCAGGAGGCTGAAAATATGTGGCAAGTGTGTTTGGACAATAATCAGGTTTGCATTATTAACCTCTGGCCTCACACTATTGTTAGTACCATTTGTAATTATGCCAAGGGAGTTCTACCCGATAGCACAATAATCATAAATGAAAGTCCCTGTACTATAGGGTCTTTGGCAAAATTTTCACCAAAAAAAAAAACCAGGAGTAAGTTCTATTTTAATAATTTTTTCTGATACATAAATTATACATGTGCATGTTCTTGTTCTAATGTTATGCAGTAAGTTTGAGCTGATTTTGATCAAAATAATTTTTTTCAATTTTAAAACTTACTAAAAAATCA